TGTCATTTTTTTTTCTTCATTTTTTCACTTATCCTTTATTATAAAATCATCTTCTAATTATCGGTGTCATTGATTAGATTTTTTCTTGAATATCCTGATTTTATTAGGAATTTTTTAACTAAAAAATAATAAATATTTTAAATTAATTAGATAAAACTCTTTGTCGCTCTCTTTTAAGATTGAAAAAGATACGTAGACATATAAATATTTCTTATCTACTTTGGCACCATCGTTTTTTTAAACATTAATTAATTATGTGAGAAATAATTAAGTGAATTTTTTTTTTATAAAATTAGTTTAATTTATTGATAAATTTAATAATCTTAATCAAATTAAGATGAAAATATATTTATATTTTCTCCAAATTAAGATGAAAATATATTAATATTTTCTCTTATTTATTTATTAATTTTTATTAATTTACGTAAAATAATCTAAGATATTTCCTATTTATATTAGTATGATTCGTATACTTTACTCAACTAACCAAGTTAAGCTCCTTTAATTAGTTAGTTTGATTTTTTTAATTATTCATTATTAAAATTAACAAATTTATTATATATAATGATTTGCAATTAAATAAGATCGTAAAATTTCTTTACAACATTAGTATAATGTATTTTATTGTCAACTAATATTAAAGATCGCATAAATAGTAACATTAAATCTTTTTTTACATGACTTATAAATTGACTTTATGTTTGGGTTGGTTAATTAGCTCTTGCACTTTGGGATCAATTCATCACTGGGTGATTTCGTTTTTCCATTTTCGTGTAAATTACTTATTTCATTTGAATCTGTTTTGTTGCTTTGTTGTGGCATAATTATAATTATTATTGGAGGTGAGTAAAAGGTTCTCACTGATGGTCTGTTTAATCTATGATCTGCACTATAATAAAACTGCAATAAAGTAACGGTTAAAGTTATCATTAATGTAACTTAATTCACGCGTGCGTTCGATGGTATATCATTAATGTATCATTAATTTTTTTTATTTTTTATCAGTCGGTTAAAACAAATGGTGCTAAAATAGGTCAGATTTGTTTGTTGCTTACATAATTACATTACTAATATATTTATTATGTTATAAAATTTATTTAGTTATTACTAATAAGTAGCAACCTGTAAACAAAAAACTTTATTTACCCCCTCTAATTATCAATAACTTATTTTACTCGAACAACTTTGTTATAAATTTTTTATGTAATAGTTTTTCTTTTTCCACATTATTTTCACAAAATAAATTATCTTTCACCATAATTTCTGTTGATAATAATTACTCTTTACAATGCATACAATAATACACATAACTATTTATAAAAGAGGACATGAAGAGAGAATTTGAGGTAGTTAGAAGCATGAGAACCTTTGTTTAATCCTCATTGCGACCATTTTTGTAATCTTTCCTATTTTTACAAAAAAAATAAAAGAGGACATGATACTCTTGAGTTAGTAATTTTTATAAAATAGTGGCATTAATGAATAAATATTAATTAGTACCTAAGTCAAAACAGATAAAAAAAGTAACATAATTTAAAATGAGAAAAATGAAGATATAGTGGTAAGTGCTTATATATATTTAAGTATATAAAAAAATTTAAAATTATTATAAAATTATTAATGTATAAAAAATATTTACATAAAAAAGTAAATGTAAATAAAAAATTTGCATAAAAATTATTTATTATTATCATAAAAATTTACATAAAATATTTACATTTATTTTTAATGTTTCACATATAATTCAAATAATATTTATGGCATAAAAAATGTCATCTCTAATTACCATTATTAAAATTAACGTAATAAAAACATTTTTTAACTTTGTGTATTCTAAAAAAAAAAAAGTGAAAGTTAATAATAAAGAGTTGTCACTAATTTTTGAGTAATTTTAGTTATAGGGGTAATTTTTTGAAAAAAAATAGCAAATAAAGAAAGTAATTTGAAAGATAATTTTAGAGATAAAACTATCTAAATTAAAAAAAATTATGAAATTTAACAATGAAATCATTCTACATAAGTGTTCATAGGTGTTACCATTTATGTATAAATAATTTGTCCCTCTGAAATAATAATAATTTTATATGTTAATTTTTCACTAGCATTAAATAAATTTAAATGTATTAACAAATTGTTGGTTTGATTAAAATTAGAGGTGGTGAAAAATGAATGAACTAGATAATTTTTTAGGCGAATTATAGTAAATTCAATAAAAATAATTTATAATTTATTTAAATTGATTCATTAAAAATTTATATAAAAATTTAATCCATGTAAAACAAAAAAATCATTTAATACATTGATTACCAATTTTTTCATGATAAGTTTTTAATCCATGCATTAAAAATAATATTTAAAAAATTAAATAATTTTTATCTTTTCAAAAATTCTCTCACTTCCCTTTATAATTCATCACATTCTTATACATTCTTTTGAAATTCACAAACCTTTTCTTTTTCATTTTAGAATATTTTTTTTAAAATTTCAATCTAATAAACATCTTATATATAATTCAAAGAATTAAAAAAATAATGGATAAATTATTTACCATATATTTTAAAATTAAATGAATAAATTAAATTAAATTTATTATTTATTTTTATTATAATTAATAAGTTAGATAAATTTATTTGTAGATAAATCACATAAGTAACTATAAAGATCATTTATCACCCTTAATTAAAAGTGGATTCAGGTGATGATAACAAAACGAATTAGTGAAGATTATCCCCAACTTTGTCTCCAACCATGCAACATCTAGCAATGGTAATGCGACAACACTAGCGGTGGAAGTTCTATGTTGATTGTGTGTGCTCAAGAATTGGAACTTTCTTTCTGAGGCAGCAATGAATAGTGAGAGAGAAGTGCCAAAAAGAAATTAAAAAGATGGAGTATTACTGTATTAGAGTGAGAACTTAGTGGCAAAATCTTTTTACTGTCTTTTTTTATTAGTGTTGGCACATTGGCTTGGCCAACTTTAATTAGTATGCCTCTTAAAGTCGGTTAAGTTTACTCTTACAAGTAATCTCTTCTTTATAAATGAAGTAAATGCATTTGTGTGGAGTTTTTTTTAGTTGTTTCGCACTTGATTGACACAAATTAGCTATTAGCTTTGGTTTTTAATGTTTACTGTCCATTTTTGACTAACACTAATTTACGTTTTTATTATAATGACAAGTTTTAAATTTTGGTTTTAAATTTTGTCACAATATATTTTTCTACTATGATAAATTAAAAAACAACATTTTTCTTAAAAAAATAAATCAAGGAATCACATAATACCTTTTTTTTTTCTCTACTGCAATGCAACACTTGGTAAATAGAAGGAAAAAAAACGATAAACTTTTGTGGCAGGAGATTGATTCTTTTAAAAAGAGAGGTGCACAAACTATAAAAAAAAAAAAAAAAAAAAGAAAGAAAGAAATGAGAATCAAATAGTTATTAATTTTTTTTTGGTAGAAAGAGTTATTTGGTAATTGGTTGAGACAAAATAACGAAGAAATGAAAATTAAAAGTGGGTGATCTCACAATTTAACATTTTCACGTTGAGAAGTGGAGAAATGGTGAAGAAATAGATCGTATGCCTAATTTAATTGATTATACGTTACTTTTAATCAATAAATTTATTTTTTGTATTGATTTTTTTTCTTATTTTGATTAATTTGTTCAATTAAAAATTTATTTATTTATTTATTCAACATTTTTCTTATACCAAACTCTTATTTTCAATGTACTTTTTTTTTATACTTATTATTCACTTTATTTTTTTTTCCTTCCACTCCACTGAAAAACACTCTTAATTTTTTAATTTTTATTTTGACCCAGAGAAAAAGTTATACTATATAAGGATACAATGGATACCTTAACAAAACAAACATATAAGTAACCTAGGACCTATGTTGCACAATTCCCCTGCCAAGAGCCAACCTTACAAAATGAATATCGAGATCTAAATGTAAGAAATGAGAAACATTAGTGAATAAGTTAATTTTAGGAGTTAAGGTTAATAATAGTTTATAAACACTTTTCTTTCTTAATTTATTGAAGCGCTTTTTTAAGAACAAAACTGTAATGATCTAACGAGTGTTAAAACAGTGATATTAATTATAACAACAAACTTAATCTAATATTAGATTCATATATAAACGAGTTAGACACTAACTTTATAATTTTATGAGCAGTGCTCGTTGGTTCCAAGTTTCTGGGTTGTGGATGAAGTCGGTGGGGACGGTGAGTACCAAAAATCAAAACAGTTGGTGGTAGGATTTATAGGCACATTTAAATGAATAAAAAGAAGGTTTTCTTTGTATAGATATCATCTTAATTAGCAGGCAATTAATTGAATGAATGATCACGTAACCTATTCATCTCCCATTCCTATTGAGCCAACAAAATGGGAATTCCTTTGTGCTATTAAATCCTTTTGTGAACTTATTTAATTCACTTTGAATGACAAAATTGACAAATACTCTGTTTGGTACTACTATTTAATTATAAGTGATTGAACATTTGTATTTTTTAATTAAGAATTAATAATTAATGATCCTTATTTTAGCTATAAAAATAGAGTATCATTTTAATTATATAAAAATTTATACATTTTTAATAAATATTAAAAAAAATGAATTAAAATTTTAACTTAATCTTATAAAATAAATTTATAAAATAAGAATTATTATTTATTTATATATATATATTTTTAATGACCTTATTCATAGTCATCGTGAGATCTCTGATAATAGATAAAAGAAAAAAGGTTTATTATTCAATTATATCTTAATACATAATAAATTTATTGATTTTACCATAATAATTTTAAAACTCATAATAATAATTTATGAAAAATTGACAAGTGTGGATACATACCCATTAAACTAGTGTGGACAAGAAAGACAAGTTGTTTTTATTTGTTAAATTATTTTTGAAAGAAAAGAAATCCACTTCACTATCACCAACTGCTTACCCACAGCCCATGTCATAAGTCATAATTGCTCTATGATTGTTTCTCTGCTTATATGAATTGCCTCCTCTCAGATCCCACCCACACCCTGTTGCCTGTTTTTTTTAAGAAAAAAAAGATAACCCACTTTGGTTTCTTTGTCCTTTCTCAATACATCTTCTCCAATGGAAGTAGGAAGTGTTCTTGACTTTCTTCAGGACAAGACCATTTTAATCATTGGAGCCACTGGCTTTCTTGCCAAAAGTATTCTCTCTCTCTCTCTCCTTCTAAGGTGCTCATCATTTGCACTTTTTTTTTTGCTATATTGGTGATGTCTTTGGTTCATGTTTCAGTTTTTCTGGAGAAGATATTGAGGGTTCAACCAAATGTTAAGAAGCTTTTTCTTCTTCTAAGAGCTTCCGATGCCAAATCTGCTAATTATCGCTTGCAAAATGAGGTAAATCCACAAATATTATTTACCATTCTATATTATCATACATGATCCGCGATTACTTTCCTATCACATCATATATATCATATCATCATACGCTTCATTAACCTCTAATATTTCTTTTTTAGAAAATATAACCATATATATCTATTTTCTTCCATCTTATTTTCTCTTCATGTTTATTCATTTTTTTTTTATCATATCTATCATCTCTCTTGTATTTACTTCAAAATGGAAAGGACTTCAATAGCTAGTTTTCTTTCTTTCTCATTTTATATCATATTTGTACTTATTCTTTTTATTACATGTCTCTCTTTTCCTATCTAACTACACCAATTTCTTTTTCTTTCTCTTAATTTCCACATTGAACCGGAAAGCCAAGTGTATTTTTCTCGCGTACTTGTTTGGTGCGAAAGATGTGGTACATGCATGAGGGTTATAAATTATAGACGTAATGCAGAAATATTAATTATATTATTATTCCGATGGATATAATAAAATTTGAGCAGTAGGCGGCAAAGTAATGGCAGTGTCTGCAATTTCGATCTTTCGCTTTCTCATATATTCGTTTGTTGAGAAAGGTGTGGTGCGTAAGGGGACGAAGTGTGGGTGTAGTTGGCCCTCATTAATTACAAGTTACACTTATTTCAAGTTACCATTTTCCCCCCACACCACGTAACTATATCCTATCGTGTCTATTTTTCTAGAAATTACGGGGAGTTAAGGTGTCACTTTTTTAAACTGCTTTCCGGGAAAAATAATTACTTCACAGCAAGATGCACTAGAGTGCACGTAATCACTAATCACGTCATGTATAACCATGCAAAGAGAAATACTATCAATTTAACGCACTTTTTTAAGCATATTGTTTTCTTATTGCTACTTCATTATCTACAAAATCAATTTACTTGTTTTTAAACATGTCACTTTTGTTAAAACGCGTTCACAATTTAGAAAATAAATCATAATCAAGACTGTATTTTAAAAAAAAAACAAAATCAATATTGTTCTTCGACATAGCATTTATTATTTGTTTTTTTTGTTTTTTTTTTTTGTTTTGTTTTTATTATCTTTAACTCTTGCGCGCATTTACAACTATACCTAAGCATGAAATTAAGGAGTTCAAGTATATATTATGTCATTTTTAAGCTTTTCCTAATTATTATTCCTTTAATCGTATTTGTCTTAAATTATTTTATACAAACTAAGAAAAATTAATTTATAAATGAAAGAAAATGGTGATTTTACAAAATTAACCTTATAACTAAATATATATAATTGATACTACATTAAAAAACTAATATGCTGTTTATTTTGAAACTTAATTTTTCTCCAAACATCCTTATTATTAAACGGTGAAAATAATAAATAAGTTAACACATTAATTTTTTAATAATTACACTTGTTTTATCTATTATTTTATCGTTCTTTTTGTCACTTATTTATCATATTTGTCATTTTCTTTAATTTTTTCCCCTTCTAACCTCTTTCTTCCCTCCACGTGCATATACTTCAAAATGGAGTGTATGAGTGCACTCTTAATCACTACTCTCAATTTTTTTACCATATATACATGCCATTTAATTAAACTTGTGGCTAATACGTGATTAATATATACTTTTGGCATTTAGATCTTAGGGAAGGACTTATTCAATGTGCTAAAGGAAAAATTGGGTGCAAATTTTAAGTCCTTTATTTCGGAAAAAGTAACCCTGGTGCCGGGGGACATTTCTTTGGAGGACTGGGGCTTGAAGGATTCCATTCTTAGGGAAGAGATTTGCAATCAGACAGATGTAATTGTCAATTTAGCAGCAACTACTAACTTTGATGAAAGGTATAAGCTTATTAATTTAATAACCGCATTATTACACCGTAGTTGACTTTTCTTTGTTTTAATTTTGTCCCTTGAAATTGCAGATATGATATAGCGTTGAATCTAAATACTTTTGGAGTTAAGCATGTGATGAACTTCGCTAAACAATGTACTAAGCTCAAAGTGCTTCTCCATGTATCAACAGGTTAGTATGAATTAACAAATCAAAGTGAAACGATGATTTCAGTGTTAAAAAAACATGTGTGACAGTGATGCTACACTGCATGCAATTTCAGCTTATGTGTGTGGTGAGAGAGGTGGACTCATTCTAGAGGACCCCTATCACTTTGGTGATTCACTAAATGGAGTGTCAGGACTAGACATCGATGCAGAAAAGACAATTGTGTGCAACAAATTGGATGAACTACGAGACCAGGGGGCCACAGAGCGTGAAATTAAAATAGCAATGAAGAACCTGGGTATTACCAGGTTTGTGAACACCATAATATGCATTCTGCAAAGCCTAATCTAGCCAAACTTTGTTTTTCTTAATAAATGTTACTTCTGCTATATTCATCATTTTCAGAAACTAATAATGTGTCGTGTGCCTAACGAGTAACATTTTGTACAACTTACTAAAGAAGTTCTAATAGAACTTACAAATAATAATTAAATTAGGAATTAACGTTTCTCATGCGAAATTTTACCAAAGACGGAGGTTTGTTTGTTTTTGACGTTCTGAACGACATTAAGGACCTGGTCCAGCCCTAGGCTAATGATGTTCAAGTACAACAACCAAGCTGCTTTCCAAACTCGGCTAAGCTTTAATTACCACCTTACTTGATGAAAAAAAAACTCACAAACACTTATAGAAAATAAATAAATAAACAAATTTTTTCATAAAATAATTTATAAAAATTCGCTCATATTTTATGAAAAAATTATGTACGAGTAACATTTCTTGAAAAAAAATCTCGTGAAATGGCAGGGTTCAGCTGAGTGACGTTCGTATGTATATATATGAACAGTTAATGAATGGTTCTCATAGTGTGAGATCTAGAATTAACCACAAATGTAGTATGTTTGATAAATATCTTTGAGACTATAATAGCTAGAAGCCATTGATTCACATGCGTCAATCGACTTATTATATAAAAGAATATTACCACTATTAGCTAAATAATTTTTCTTGTTGCTTTTTCCGTACCAGTACTTATCTCATCAAGTTTGTTTCATTCAATTACTTAATTATTAGTTTCTTATTTATATGTCTGTACTTAGTTTACTTATTAGTCAGGCATATCCATTGATCAGTATGATAATGGCTTAATTTATCAACATGATCATTCATTCAAATATAACCTAATAGTATATATGTTCATGCTTTGCATTTTATATTAATTAAATGTTCCAGATCATATAATTCATTGGGTTGGACGGTGGAGCAGATGATAATATCACGATTCTTCTAGAGGTGGAAGGGACAATGAATTTATCATATAGGCCCATGTCCAATAAGTCATTGATTAAAATATTATTAAAAAGTGGGCATTTAATGATGAAAATTAAAACCTTAAGTTTGGCATCAATTTTTTTAAAAAAAATAAAAATAAAAAGGTCAAAGGCATTTTAACATTCATGCTATATTAAATTTTAAAAAATATTTAGTATAATAATTTTGTAAGATATATGCGATGATTAGGGCAAAAGTGTATGGATGGCCAAACACATACGTATTTACGAAGGCAGTAGGAGAGATGCTGGTGGAACAATTAAAAGGAAGCCTATCAGTTGTTATTATGCGTCCTACCATCGTTACAAGCACATCAAAGGAACCTTTCCCTGGTTGGGCTGAGGGTGTCAGGTAAACTAAATTAATTTTACTTTTCATTTATCATATCAAATATTTAATCTCTCTTTTAAATTTTAGTTAATAATAATGAGATTTTTAAACTTCGAATTCCAAGTAACATTCACCAAATAGTATAACTATTTCATAAAAAAAGGCAACATGATTAAGTAAAGAGTACTGCTGCCAGCTGGATAAAGGTATTTATTGCTGTCCTTTATCAATTATTGAAGCAATTACTTGCATTGAATTTGTAAATTTATCTACGATTACTTCTCCGAGTAGAACTAGTCAGAAATTTCTTAACTCGAATTTAAGATGATGGAAAGAAAAAAAAAATGAATTGTAAATTTAAAATATCACAATCACCTTCACTTCATACCATAACATGAGTAATAAGGTGATGTTTTGCTTATATGATAATCGTGTATAGGCATGTTCAGGTGATTTTTTTTATAAGTAGTTTTAAGAGAAAAAGTAAATAAATAAAAATATTAAAATTAGATTATATAAGTTAAAAATAAGGTCTTCTAAAAGCTAATAAGAGAGATTTTATAAATTAGTTTATAAAGAATTTTATTTTTTCTTTCATATTTTAATTTTCTAAAAGTGATTCAGAAAAATATTATTCAAACCTATATGCATATATGACTATCTTACCACTAAATATAAATACAACTAAAATATATCCCATGGTGCTATCTTTTAGTTTAAATACATGCCAATTTAATCATGTAAACTATTATACCGATAAATTTGAGAACAAAGTCATAACTCAACCAATTAATTTAATTAGCTATAAATCAAGTCAAGACAATACAATACAATACACTACCAACTAGCAAAAAAGTTTCATGATTTTGCTCATTTAACAATACTTGGGCCAAATTTTAAGCATATCATCACAATAAAAAGGAAACTCAAAATATCAAACATGTATTTGATTTGAAGAAAATTAATGGTAATTTTGTGCATCATAGTCATGTGAAAGTGAAAATGTAGACTCAAAATGGAAGACTTTCCGTTAATGTTTGTTACAGAACGATTGATAGTTTAGCTGTTACATATGGGAAAGGAAAATTAACATGCTTCCTCGGAGATATCAACGGAGTTGTGGATGTGGTGAGTTACTGCATGAATACCATTGTTGTTCATGTTCTGATTAATTTCTCCATTTCTGATCTCATCTCAATATACCATAAATTGAATGAGCAGGTACCAGCTGACATGGTGGTGAATGCAATGTTAGTGGCCATGGTGGCTCATGCAAAGCAACCAAGTGATATCATATATCATGTGGGTTCCTCTGTTAGAAATCCAGTCACATACCAAAATCTTCAAGACTATGGATTACAATATTTCACAGCAAAACCATGGATAAACAAGGATGGAACAGCTGTCAAGGTTGGCAGAGTAACAGTATTGACAGACATGGAAAGCTTCAGGAGATATATGTTCATTCGCTACATTCTTCCTTTGAAGGTTCTAATCTAATTAACATATTCTACCCAGTAATCTTCATTCTTAGAAAACCAACATAAAATTGTGTTTCCATCTACAATAGCATAATTTTATACTAATCATTAAAACATCTTACCTTGAACAATGATACAACAAAAATAAATATTGATTCTTATCTTACAAGTTGATTTATAAAATTGAATTAGATTTAAAATTATTTTATTAAAATGATATCAGAATTTATTTTAATGAGTATTATTGAAATTATTTGACTACTCTCTCTCAAACTATCTATATATATTTAATGTTGTAAACTTTACACTTAAAATAATCCACTACTTGATGTAAGGAGCGTAATAAAAATCACACAACTAACGATAAAAATAAAATATATAAATATAAATAATATTTACTTTATAAGTTAATTTTGTAAAATTGGATTTAGTTTAAATCATATTGTTAAAACTAATATATAATAGAAAAAAAATGGAATACACATTTAATTAGGATGTATTGACTGTTTTCAAGAAACAGCTTAAGCTTTTGTCTTGATTGGTTCATAACAAACATGAGCTTACATGTTTTTTAACAACTTTTTTCCATTTAATAGGGACTTAAGCTGGCCAATACTGCACTTTGCCAGTATTTTCGGGGAACGTATCTTGAGCTCCACAAGAAGATCCAGGTTGTGATGCGGATGGTTGAACTTTACAGGCCTTACATGTTTTTCGATGGCGTGTAAGTGTTATAATCTATAATAGGGACTTCACAATATGTTAGTCACAAAATGTCACAAAATCACTTGCACACGCAGCATTAACATATTATATACTTAATGAGGTATAAACTGAGATAGAGAATGTTATGCACACAGATTTGATGATATGAACACAGAAAAGTTGCGAGTGGCAGCAAGAGAAAGTGGGACAGAAACAGATTTGTTTTACTTTGATACGAAAGAGATTAACTGGAATGATTACTTTATGAAGACCCATCTCCCTGGCATTGTCAAGTACATTTTCAAGTGATGCATACTTCTAAGTGATTCATAAAACTCAAACCTTATTAAGTTCAATATTGTGCAAGAGTGACTGCATTACAATAGTGGTGTTGTTTATTTCTCAAGGTCAATGCAATTGGTGTTGGCATGCTGCCAATTAAGTTGGAAAAGTTTGATAGTGTTCCAATTCCAAATATCATATATTTTGCTTTCTCCTACCATTAATGAACAGAGGAGTATTTATTTTTAATATAGTGTTCTCCTTTGCATTTTACCTAAAGACTCATTGGTATCCATAAATATTTACTAACATGTTACCACAAATAACATGTTATATTGTCATTGCTGTGCAATGAGGTGAAGGTTAAGAAATATTGTGTGACAACTAAAGAAATTTGGCACAATTGGCACAACTAAAGAAGTCAATTTCATGATCAAGTCCAACATTCTTTGTAATTTAAGAATTCATAACTTTAAGTACAGTTGGGTTTGAAAATTTCAATTTCATCCATTATATAAATGAAGTATAACTTACACAACAGACCTGTCCCAACTTCCAACATGCCATGATGTATCTTCTCCCTAGTGAAAATATTGAGTATCATGTATCTTTTGTAGGGTTATGAAGAAGATTTCGTTGACAAAGGATAAAATTCAAATAGGTAATCTTTAGGCCTTAAAAAAAATAATTTCTAAACTTTGTTGGCATGTATCACAATGGATGTGGTTGGGCTTGTATCTCGACGAATAATGGGCCCTACCTAGACTATGCTCCTCCAAATATGCATTGAATGAAAGAAACCTAACTGCAAATGTGAGAAACAAGACATGGCCCAATAGTTTAAATGTACACGATCTTCACGACTTCATCCCCTAAATCTTGGTCGATAAAAAAAATCACGTGTATACGATTTTTAATTATCAATTTTCACGTTACGTATAATAGTCAAGTTTTTTTTTATATTTTATTTTATTTTAATTTATTGATAAAACTTGATTAGATGTTAGGAGTAGATTGACCAAAATTAAATCATTTAGGACCATATAATAACTTCTGTAATCAAGCTTTGAATTTTTATTTAATATGTATGAAGTATTTTTATCACTACGATCTCTGATACCAACATGTTAACATGTTAGCGAATTGGATCGAATTTCTTAAACAAAATTTTGGATTTGAACTCAGATAATAAGAAGATTACAGGAAAAGACACCACTTAATTAGTTAAACTTTTCAATAAAAATTAATTATTAACAAAATCAATTTTTTTACATAATAACATGATGTTTAAAAAAATTAATATATATCTAATTTTTTTTATAAAAATATTCAATATTAGAATGAAGTATTTTTCCAATTATTATTATTATCTTATAAAACATATAATCTAATTATTTATATTAATTTTCAATTTCTTACATCTTAATTTTTTTTTATAATTTTATATTACTTCATTACTAAAAAAGTATATATAATATTAAAAATATAAATTTAAGTATTGAAAATTTAATTAAATTTAATCACAATTGAATCAATAAATTATGAACTAATATTTTTACTAATTTAATTATTAGTCTATTTTTAAATTATTAATAAAAAACTTTTCATGACCAGAATGTTAATCGCTATATAACATTACCATGTAACATCTTTTATCTATGTCAGCAATGAACTTATCATAGTAATAATTTGTCACATTAATATGTAATTAATTGTAAAAAATGATCAACTAATGGATGATAAAATATGTAAAATTTTAAAAAGTTAAATAACAAAATATAAAACTAAAATAGTCAAGTGGAAAATTTACAAAATTATAAATAAATAAAAAAAGGCAATTCAAGATGTATTCTAAAGACTTTTTTTGTAATGAGTATGAAAACGAAAGGCAATGAGAGAATCTATTGTATGACAAAGAGAGTGTCCATATTGCATCATCTAGAACCAAAGAGGAAATAAAAGATAGATTCAAAAACTAAAATAAAAGGTACAAGAGAGAGAGTCTTCCTTTCCCAAACAATTTGCAATTGAGTTATTTTTTCTGTGAGGATATTTGGTATGCAAAATATTTTTATATTTATGGAAATCTTATTAAAGTAAAAATCTTAATTTCATATGTTGGTAATTATTTTAAAAACAAATCTTAATAATAAAAATTTTTAATAATTATTTTTATCTCACTTTTTTACAAGAATATTCTCGTAAGGAGAGTGAGAATCTCATTTTTTCGAATTAAGAAGAAAATTTAATGCATATAAAAAAATTACAATATCTTTTTTTAAAACAATTTTTTTCTCTTTCTCCTTCTATTTCTTTTTCTCTCTCTATTTCTCTCACTCTCGCTCTCCCTCTCTTCCTCTCTCCCTTTCCTTCTCTTTCTTTCTCGCTCTCCCTCTCACTCTCTCTCTCTTACCTTCTATCTCTCTCTCTCTCTCTCTCTCTCACTTCCCCCTCTTTTGCTCTCCCTCCCTCGTTCTCTCTCATATCTTTATTTCTCTCTCTATTTTGTATTTTATTATTTTTTGACGTTGTCAATTTTAATAATAATATTAAAATATTTAATTTTCAAAAATCTTATATAAATATTCCCAAGAACCTTTAGAAGTAACCAAACATATTTTAACTATTTTCATAAATCATGATTCTCAGGAACCATGATTTATGTATATGAAAAAACTTATCCTTTATCAAACGCTCCCTTAGAATATGTTTAAAGGAAAGATTCCATAAAAATAACATTAATAAATATATAACTGAGACTATACTTGCATGAAGTTATAATGGAATCTGACTCACAAATAATATAAATATGACCAATATCTTAGGCAATCTTTGAGCCATAATAAATAGCAAATAATTTAACAATGATATTAGTGATGAAAACCCACTAAACTAAATTGTCCTAGGTTTTCAAAAAATAACTTTCATCACTATTTATTTTTAAAAAATTGAGTTGGAGGAGGTCCCCACGTACAAGAATTGTGGACTTTTCAATTGAAAAGATTGACCAAACGATGGGATAGATGCAACAACGTCTAAATATGATTATAGACATAAATCTACTACATTCTATGCAAAAACTTGAAAAGAAAAAAAAAAGGTTAAGTTCTATAATAGTATAAAATAATTTTACATAATTTTCGAATCATAAACTATTATTTATTACAAGTTTATTAACCTTTTACAAATTTACATTAACAACTTTTACAATGACAGTTTATCACCGTTAAAACAAAAACTTAATGCAACACTCAATTTAAAAGGAAAAAAAATAGCATTCTTCTTAGTAATGGAATCTTAAGAAAACATAGTAAACTGCATTGACTTTATGGTGTTATCTATCCGTGTCATTTCATTCTTTGTATATTACCTAATGTCCCTCGAAATCCCCAACCGTTAAGCATCGATCAGGATTCAGAATCAATGGAGAAGTCAAGAACAGTAGGTGTTGCGGAAGACACGCATTGATTAAGAGTTAAAATTTGCATTTACAGGGACATTGTGGTAGCTTAGTTGCTGTTGAAATATGTTGAACACTGGCTAAATAATCACTGATTTTGACCACAATAATTTGTTGACACGTGAGGGAGGTGGGCAAAGAAGAAAGCTTGAGATTCACATTTCAGATTAGGAACAACCGAACAACCGACCAAGTGTGTCGAATAACTAGTGTCACTGTCATTGCCATTGGATCTTTCCTTTCTTTTGGTAATTAAATGTCTATAAATAGATAAATAGTAAGGCCATAGGGGCATTACATTAAGCCAAAACAGTAGTGTCATATTATTGTTTGATTAAGGTTGGTTCATTTAGAATTCTTCATAATCTAACTCCAATGGAATTGGAAAGCATAATACACTTCCTTCAAGATAAGACCATTTTAGTCACTGGTGCCACTGGCTTCCTTGCAAAAAGTCTGTCTCTCTCTCTCTTCCTTGCTTATTGTGCTCATACTGATATATACTAAGATATATATATATATATGTATATATATATTTTATAGTTAGCATGTGTTCCTTTGTATGATTTTGCAGTTTTTGTGGAGAAAATATTGAGGGCTCAACCAAACGTGAAGAAACTTTATCTTCTTTTGAGAGCCAAAGATACTGAATCTGCTACTGAACGCTTACACAATGAGGTGAATGCACAAATGTTACAACTTTCTTTAACTTTCGTCAAGTTATCAAAAGTTTAAAATATATCATATCACAACAACCTTTCCAATGTATTTAATGTAAAATGTAAATGTAAAATTAAAGATTCGAGTTTCATCTCTCAAGTGCCACTAATATGAATGTGCTTGTACTCAGTTGACGAGTACGCACAAATGAATAATTTTGTTATTACAATTGATAATTAATGACATCGAATTTTTTAATACTATCGAATTGCATTTGTACGCAGATAATAGGGAAGGACTTATTTAGATTGCTGAAGGAAAAGATGGGTACAAGTTTTGATTCCTTTGTCTCAGAAAAGTTGAATGTGATGCCTGGAGACATTTCTCAAGAGGACTTGAATTTGAAGGACTCCATTCTAGGGGAAGAGATCTATAATCAAACGGATGTTATAGTTAATTTGGCTGCAACAACCAAATTTGATGAAAGGTATATATACTCAAGGTGATATAAGTCACCATGCATTTATCTCAACCTCATCGCATAATGGTTCGGTAATATGATTTTAAGTCCATATACGTGTTAGAAAAATAATTTTAATAAAGTACAAGAAAAATAAATATTTAGATTTATCAATAAAACCAATATCAACAACACAATGAATATTATAAATTAAAACAGAGCAATCAGTAACAACTAGTTAAACACAAAGAGTAAATAAAATTATTAGATAAGAAGTTTAGTGTAGCCTGGGTTGAAGCACGCAGAGCGCCCCCACTGCACTGGTAATTTTGAGTCTTATAGTGCGCTCCTCTCCCAAGATATGTCAACCCGTTAGACTGTTCGAGTACAGCGAAAGATCTCTGAACCAAAGAACACCACTCCAAAATTATAATTTTGTAGTATAAATAATATCGAGCGAAAGATAAGAATAAACTTGCTGTGTATTTTTTTCTCTACTTTTTCACATACCAGGGTCTCTATATATAAGCACAATATATTTTTAGATAAAGGATGTGCCCACGTTTTGGAAGTTTTTCCAGTAACAAAAGGTGTACGTTGTGTGTGGATGTGCACTATCTTTTAGCTAGCTTTTCGGTAACAGTAAAAGTGTACGTGGTGCACTTTGCTAACTAATCAAAATTGGCTTGGTCA